ATCCGACCCTGCTGGGGGATAAACCTCCGCTGTACCGCAGTTCGACACTCAGAGTCACCCCGCGCCACGACGAGGCGGTAGCTCATCACGAGGATTCGCGACATTGCCGCAAAAAAAAGCTCATGACACCAACAAAGTTTTGACGAGTTGCTTTCAGTTTAAAAGATCGACTTTAATTGCTTGCCGAGCTCAAAACGAAGGAAATGGTACAGTTTAGAAGTGATTCCAATGCTTCTTTTTAAATTTTGAAAAAATTCTCTTTTATTGAAGTTACAGAGTTTTGCAAGTGGCGGGACAACATTTGCTCATGGAAAATAAATACATTCCTTCCAAAGTTGGAGGGATCTTAAGCATAGTAACTCAAAATACAAACTAATCGTATAAGAAACCTAAGGAAAGACTGAATACAAATGTGGTGTTTTTTAAAATTTAGCAACTTCGTTCATTGCTTTGCATGTGCTTTCAGTTGTTTTCTGGCTTTACTTAAACTAAAACGAAAGCTGCCTAGACATTCAGACAGACGTTCTACCATAGAAAAAACCAACAACAAAAAACAGCAACACAACACAAGAAACATGATTTTACATACTTCGTTTGCAGTGAGGCAAAAGCGCCGTTTTCAACTGCGTTTGTAGAAATGCGCAGCATTGTACTACGAATACATTAATTTATAGGGTTTAGGCGTTTGTTTTATCACAGTTCGCTTCATATTTTTTTAATGTAGAAAATGTGAGACTATCTATTCGACAGCCTTGAATCTCTCTAATTTTCTTTGGCATGATAAATGTGCCTAACTCTCTCGACAACGCCTGAAACCGATTATAAGCTACATTTGAGCGTGTCCGTACTATACGTTTCTCGAAGAAGGTAACAACAACATTTGTTGCTTCATTTCTGATGGCAGCTATAAAGCTGATGAATTTGAACAATCAGGCGTCAAAGGCCTGAAAGATCAGAATTACGTTTTAAACAAAGGTAGTAACAGAATTAGGTTTCGTCTATAGTCGCCAGACCTCGGAGGAAGGTCTCCGGAGGGCAAGCTGGGACTCGTTTTTGTGGAAAAAGTAAAAGGGAAATTGTATAGGGCCCGAGTTGGAATCTGGAATTTGTTATCAATTTCCCTAGCAAGAAGAATGTTGAAGTTCCCACCATTATTATTCAATTCTATAAGCGCTCTGTGGCCGTTTACATACTCCAATACGGATTTGAAATATGTTTCAATGCCCTGCGTTTACACGGGAAATTCAAACGGACCTACAATATCCATGTAAACCGTTTTTTCTTAGCGAGTTTACAATGAACATCCACCAAAATCGGCTTAAAGATGCGAAACAAGGAGTAGAAGAAGTGTTTGAAAAATTTTGAAAAATTATGACAATGAAAAAACTGCTTTACCTTTTTGATTTAGGTCTCCGGTGGAGACCTACGGGAGACCTGAACAATAACCGGATCGAAGGACTTTCTCTCTTCCTTACTAAGGCCCTAAATCGTTTTACCTTGATGAATAAAACGTGCTCCAAGCAAAACTGCAGTGCTCGTTCTGCTTGCACGCGTTTATATAAGTTACAAAGGTTGCTTCGTGATTTCCTGGATTTTCAGCAGCTATTCGTTCTCGTAAGTTTCAACCGGAGACCTCGTGCCGAGGCCTGATAGTCGCTCTCATCCCCTCATTTGCTGCACGTTAAGCAATTTACGAGTAGTGCTATAATTAAAGCTTTGCAGTTCAAGCGAAATACATGACAAATTGTTCCATTAATATCATATTTGTTGTGGATAACTTTATTTGTAAATGTTTTTTCTAAAAGGGCCTCCGTTCAGCAAGATGTAGAATACACTGCAGTCCCTTAAGTTTACCTGATGAAACGAGAAACCTATTTTTCGCATTGTAGTGTTAGCCGATAACGGATAAAAAATTTTGATCCTCTCAAACAATTTCTGAAATGTTCTCGCCTCGTTGTTAAAAAATTTGCACTACATTTGGTTCTTATGCGAAAGAATTTATTTCAAAGAACCGCCTCAGATCTTTTTTGGACAAGTTTTCTCCTTTTGAATCATATAATCCGTGAAAAAAATATTCAAATAAAAAAACCAATTCTTCTATGATATCAAAATAGTGCATGTTGAAGTATATCCTATTGTTATAACAGCGTTTTCTTTAGCAGTTCGTAAATAAAAGCAACATGCAAAGGAGAACGGTGTTTTATTGCTGGTAGTGTGTTAACTTAACGTTTTTCACACTTTTACGCCACCCCTAGAAACGGCCCCACGATTGAAGCTTCTCTAAAACTGGGTATTCTTTTCTATTTTATGTTAAACTTTCAAACACACGCATGAAGGCCTTGTAAGCTAAGGTTCCCC